CTATTTATACGATAAATAGCCAGGGAGGTCTATTGACATTCCATATGATGGATATGATTAGATTTTTTTTTTCTACATATGCTTAAATATGACAATAATGTTTAAAATCTCGCTGTGTCTAGTTTTGTTTACATGTTACATGACTGGCCGAAGAAACCTAAAAGATTATGTATGGCGCTCGCTGATTGGTGAAATTGCTTTACTAGAACTCTCCGTTAGCTACTATTAGAATGAGTCGAGTTGCGATAACTCAATTCATTTTTCTTTCTTTTATTAGCTCATTCATTTTTTTTCGCACCTTCATTTCTTCGTTGGTTCGCCCCCAGGCATCCACGAAGCCCTGGGCCACGCCGTCGCCCTCAGCGTGGAGAGCCCGCGGCACCTCTGGCGTGTGGGTCTCCTGAACAGCCCCCACGTGACCTACGAGACCGAGATCAACGACCTGATGAGACGGGCGTTGGACAAGGTCGTTTTCTTGCCCTACGCCTACGTGGTCGACCTGTGGCGCTGGAAGGTTCTGGAAGGCAGTCTGCCGGAGAAGGACTGGAACTGCGGGTGGTGGGACCTCAAGTACGCGCGACGATGTGCTTTTGTTTGGCGTCTCTGCGCTGATTGTGTTTGATTTTACGTTTTCTTTGTTGTGTTTGTGTATAGTTTTTTTTCCGAATATGTTTCTTCTCTAACTCCCTTTCTCTTTCTCTCCCTTCCTCTCACTTTACCTGCGCTACTCTCCTTCTCTTTCTTTCTTTCTCTCTGCTTCCTTTATCCTCTCTTTCCTCCTCCCACACCTTCCTATTTTACCTCGTTTCTTCTCCCTCTCTCCTGTTTCCTCCCACTTTACACCCCTTTCGCTCTATTTCCAATCCACGCCTTCGTCTTTCTCTCCACCCCCCCCCACTCTCTCTCTCTCTCTATCTGTCCACTCCTTGCCCTCCTTTCCTTCTCCCCCTCCCTCTCCACTCCCACTCACACCCGTTCTACGCCCCAGGTACGAGATCCAAGGCATGCGGCCCCCGGAGGTGCGGTCTGAGGCGGACTTCGACGCCGCCTCCAAGTACCACATTCCGGCCAACATCGCTTACACGAGGTGCGTCGGGCTCTCTCGGCGCTGGGTGTTGCGGTTGGGAGTCAGTGTCTGAATGAACATTTTTTTCTTGTGTGTGTGTGTGTGTGTGTGTGTGCGTGTTTGTGTATGTGTGTGTGTGTGTGTGTGTGTGTGTGTGTGGTGTGTGTGTGTGTGTGTGTGTGTGTGTGTGTGTGTGTGTGTGTGTGTGTGTGTGTGTGTGTGTGTGTGTGTGTGTGGTGTGTGTGTGTTTGTGTGTGTGTGTGTGTGTGTGTGTGTGTGTGTGTGTGCAATACTTCTAAGTCATACTCCATCTTCCTCCCCAGATATTTCGTGAGTTTCGTCATGCAGTTCCAACTCCATAAAGCTCTGTGCATGAAGGCGGGCAGATACGTGCCAGGCGACCCTACGATGCCTCTACATAAGTGCGATATTTCCTCGTCCATTCGGGCTGGAAATGCCATGAGGTGAGCGACAACAGTGAATAAAAAATTATCAAATTAAGAATCAAATGTGATAATCATGTACAGACAGAGGAGAAAAGAAGACGATTGAGAGAGCTAAAGAGAAGGAAAGAGATATGGATAGAGGAGGAGAAGAAGACGGAGAAGGAAGGAGAGAGAGAGAGAAAGAGAGTTGGGAAAAAAGGGAAATATGATAGTTGCTTGCATAATTGGAACTAATAAACAAATACCAAGAAATGACAACAATATTCGCTTCCTTCACTATTTATCGTATGTCATTTTTCACCCCCTTCGTTATTCCTCGCATTTCCCTTCTACCAATTCTAATCCCCCATTATATTACAGAGAAATGATGAGACTGGGATCCTCGAAGCCATGGCCAGAGGTCATAGAGGCGGCCACAGGGGAGAGAAAGATGGACGGATCAGCCTTACGGGAATATTTCAAGCCCCTGGAGAAGTGGCTGACAGAAGACAACGAGAAGCACGGAGAGTTCGTCGGCTGGAGGCCAGGTGAGGCGGCCGCTCCTGGAGGCGGAGTGAGCAGGGGTGTGTGTGTGTGTGCGTGTCTATGTGCGTGTGTACGTGTGAGTTTGTATGTGTGCGTGTGTGAGTCTGTTTTTATATTTGTATATATATATATATATATATATATATTATATATATATATAATATTATATTTCCATGTTTGTAAATATGCATGTATTTCTTTATTGTATATATGTTCTATGTAAGTTTACATATATGTATGTAAGTGTGCATTGATGTTTGTATATACTTAAGGATATATGTATGTATGTGTATGTATTTATGTATATATTTGGGTATGTCCGTCTGTCTGCATGCATATATATATATGCATATGTATATATAAGTTTATGTATATGCGCCTGTTTTTAAGGGAAACTGTAAAAATATGTGTATGTCTGTGTTTGCTATGTGTATATTTTATATACATATTCTTATGTGAAGGCATGCATGTATCTTTGTGCATATTCGCATGTATGTGAACATACACATTTAATCAATCCATTGATGAATTATTAATGAAATTAAGAGAATAATTTTTTTATCTAATTAATTTATTCATAACACTTATTTTATCATTATCATTATGATATATATGTCACCTTAGATAGACTTTTAAACAATGCCAGTCGTTATGATAGACAAACTCTTTCCTTAAATAACGGTTATAAGTACTCTTTCAATCACGTCCTTTGTTATCGTTTTACAAAAAATGAATATCGATTAATGACAGAAAACAAATAAAATAAATAATCATGATAACGAATGAGTAAACAGCTAACAAGTTTTAACGCCGTATCCTCTCCTTGAACAGATGGGGAGTATTGTCTGTACGAGAAGCCGCAGACGAAAGACGGTCCGCAGAGGTGTCAGATGAACACGGAATAGGAAGAAGGAAGATAGAGGAAGAGGAGAAAAAGAACGAGAGGAACATGAAGGAGGAGGAAAAGAAAAGAAAGGGAAGGAAGAAGAAGTAAGAGGAAGAGGATTAAGAGAATGATATCGATTTGGAATAGATTGAGAGGTGCGAAGTTGAAATAAGAAACATTCGCCATGGAATGCAAGAAGAAAAGTCTAAAATAAGGACGAGGTTGAAGAAAATATGGAAGGAAAAAACGATCATAAGGTAATTTATGAAGAGAGAAAATATACAGAAGAGAAGGAAATAAGAAGGATTAGAATAAGAAGACAATGAAGACGGCGATGACGACGAAAGCTGAACTTATTGTTGTTAACAAAGATATGACATTTGCTTTACTGTTATCTTATTTGTAAGTTAATTAGTTTTAGCTAATTTTACATTTCGTTCAGTTACCTGTGTTGTTACCTGATCTATTAACTTTAAGTAGTAACCATGACCAATTATTATTTAATACCACTTTAATTTTAGATGTTATGTATTGTTTTCCAAAAGGGATTGAAATAAATATACGCGTATATAATTGTCTTGCCTTGCGTTACTACACGACATGCATATTGTCTGTAAGTGTGTTCTTACCTAGTTGTTTTGACGGGAGAAGAGCTTCCTCGGCAGAGCCATCGTTTCTGTCTTATCATAGTTACATCTGAATCCCAGATAACAGAATCATTAATGACTTCCCTGGCAAACCCATTCCTGCCCTCATCTCTCCCGGTACGTTATCCGGAACTGTCTCCATCCCCAGCAGACAGCCATGTTTACGAAAAGGTGTGGTCACACTGTGGAGACGACTTACTAGCCTGCCTCATGGGCTATGATGCAGTATCTGTACAATTCTACACCACTCCCCCTTGAGGCTGCCGTAAGTCCACCATTATCGCCAAGATTACTTTCGTAGATATAACATCCCTTATGATGTTTACACTGGCTGAGTCCCTCCCTGTCCGACCAATATGCCCCACCTACAAGTTAGAGTCTGACGTGTAAATTCTTAGATTGAAACTTGGCCTCACGTCAAAGCACATCGACGAGATGTTTCTCTTACTCTTTACTCCAGTGCTGCCCTTCGTTCTGCCCCTCCCACTTCCTCCCAAGATATTTCTACATCTCCCCCAGTATCTCATCATCACATTTCTACCACTCCCTCTTCCAGTCAAATTCTTTTGCCATTCTAAAGCCAGACACTCCAATCTCTACCAGTATTCTAAATCCAGACACTTAAATCTCTACTTTCCCAGTACTTAACCCTCTTCCTCACTTGACTCATTGCATAAGACAAACTAAATGTTCAACCCTATCTTCTCCAACAGCATCCTCTTTTACATCAGCCTTTTTGTCCGCCCCTTAAATGTCCGCCTCCTCTTCTAAGAAAACCCTCGTTTCTCAGACTTCCCCCCAACCAACTCCACCTCTGAAACTCTTGAGGAAATTCAAAACTTTAGAGAACATGGCTACACCTCTTCCATCCCCCCATTCTCTCTGCTCCCATTCCATCTGCATTCTGTGACTGCCGACATCCATCCTCCTACTTATGTCCCAGCTACACCCCTTCCTCACACTCCATACCAACGCATCCCATTTGCCCCTGCTTTATCATCATCACCCCCCTCCCCCTCCCTTCATTATTATCCCCTCTGCTTCCTCCTGGAACCACATATGGCTCCCCAGTGCCGCACCGATCCACTTCCCTGGATTCTCTCCCTCCTAACATTTCTCCTGAAACTGTGATCTAATCGCCCTTAAACCTCCCTTTCTCCCTTTGCTATTCTCCAACTAACCCTACAGACATTCTTGCAAAATCCCACAGTTATTCCTTTAACAACTTTCACCCTTGTTAAATCCCTACCTTAACCCATTTACTCGCCCTCTCCACCCTTACCCCTCTGCACCTTTCAATGCCTTACTATCCTGAACTCTATACGAGTCTTGACGTATAGCACATTTAATTAATTAAATCCCCCTTTACCCTATACTACTAAACCTTTTTATAGTGCTATATGACCTTTGATGTCTAAGACATTTATTTAGCTTTGTACCTATTAACCATTCATAGTTCATATTTTTTAGAGCTGTTGCCCATCCTGTGGCAGCTCTTTGAACTCTTTCCAGTTTGTGTGTATCCTCATTTAAGCAAGGCTTCATACCACTGCAGCGTACTCTGGAGTAGGCCTTACGATGATCCTCTTTACCATATCTTGGTTCTATATAAATTAATGTCCTCTTCATGTTAGTCACCCTAACATGTTAAGGAACTTTTCATTTATATGATCATTTGGCCTCAAGTTCCTGTTTATGATTACTCTTTTTTTTCTTCTTATCTGCAGTGTTTTATATTGTCTAATTTGCATTGGTGTAGTGGTCGCTTTTACTTTTCTTGAACCTGACTGCATGGCATTCATTGCTGTTGAATTCAATTTTCCAAGTACAACTCCACATGAATAAGTTCTCGATGTTCATATAGCATTGGCATGAGCCGTCGTCATTAATCCTACTTGATACTTTCGCGTCTTCTGCAAAATTTTAAAGATACCTATTTGACCTTAAATCATTGATGAAATGGTAAACATAATCGGCGCCAAGACCAATCTTTATGCACCAGTCAATCAGACCCTCCACCCCCCCCCCTCCTCAAGCATTCACCTATATTCCCTTTATGTTGTAAAAAAATGGGTGAAGATTCACCCTCCATTCACACCGTTTCTTGTACTGTCCGTTCATGATCCACTTCAGGTTCATATGTAGCGGGAATAACGTTAGGTGGAGATTCACCACTTTACATGAGAAGTTGACTTCCAATGAAGAGAAACACTTTTCCTCTAAAGCCAGAGCACGGTAGCCTAATGGTGTTTTTGCATAACCCAGAAGTATCATGACTGAGAAGCCACAATCTTTAAATGACGAGTGTCTTATGCATCGTGTAATCATCGGTATACTGTAACATCACAAGCCGTGTGCTGGACAGCATGGGAAAATTCTTGCATGGGGTTTGTATCTTTTGATGATGGATTATTACCGGTTTGACCAAAGTTCGACGCCTGTTTACTTTCAGAACCAAGGTATTCATTCAAGATTCACTTTGCTTTCCCTTCGCGTATGATTAGCTCAAAATCCACCAATGAAACAATAAATTTGGGTCAAGATTAGGCGTCTACTCGACGTCGAATAGGTGTTGACCCTTGAGGAGGGGGGGGGGGTTCTGATTGACGGGTGCATCAAGGTACTTCGCTAGTTACTTGTCCCCATGTAGATTGCTTCTCTTTAATTACAATTCTCATTTATCTTTTATGTAGAAAGTCTTTTATACATTAGAGGAGTTTGCCTTTCACTCCACCTTGGTGTTTTACCGTCAATAATGCCTTGTGTGTGACAACTTAACGAGTGCACACAATCCATCCAGCCGTCTCTTTCGGAAATTTAAAAAATTTGGGTAGATTTTCTTGTCTCGATGAATTTTGTAAGAATCTAGTTAGAGATTTCATCAAGTCTCTCTGCTTTAGTCCTGTCTAACCCTTATAGTACGTCTTTCATTTCATAATTTTTGGGTGTGATATTTTCTACATATATTTTCTGTATTATGCGATCTTTTTTCTGTTTCAAAGTAGGGGTCCTGAACAAATACTGATTGAAATTTCTCATTTTGGATTTCACATATTTCCTCTTTTAATAAACAATGATTTTCTTTGATGGCGATAATCTCTTATTTTAGTCTTGTTGTTAATGCAATTAAAGAAAAGCTTTGATGGGTTTGTACATTTGTTAACTATATCCATATTTTTGTCTTTCTCATGGCATGGGTATATTTATTTCTTCTACTTTGTATCATCCACGCGCTGCTTGAAATCTATCTTCTCCCGATTCCTTGCATTCAATATTGAACTACTTTTAGACGTTTCTTGCTTCGGTTTTGACTTTTGGTTCAAATTTGTCTCCTCTTTCCCATCGCATTTTTTTTAATACTGTACGTCAGCGTTCTCTTGGTCGTGCATTGTTTCCTGTTTCTAAAAATAACCTCTCTTGAAGTTGTACTTTCACTCTGTGTGTGTGTGCGTGTGTGTGTTTTTGTGTTATATTCATATATGAAAAGGCCAAGAAGTCGTTTCACAGGGGTACTCGGGTCCACGTGATCATCAAATTCGTACCATACACAACGAATGAACGCTATGTAAAATCATAACAAATAGCAAAAAAAAAGTTTGTTATAATCTACAGATTGCAAGTAGAAAGATATAATCTTTTAAGAAACCATATGACAAAGGGAACCGAGTCCCGCTGAAATCTTCTCGAAAACAACAACATCGTGATTCAACGAAAATTTGATCCTCCATCGGCTTGTCTCTCGCACGCGCTCTTGTATCACCCTTAAACCATGTCTAACGAAAAGCAGGTGGACACCAAGCCTAAGATTGACTTAGGTCTATTGGAGGAAGATGATGAGTTTGAGGAATTCCCCGCAGAAGGTAAGATAAGAAGAGAAAAGACGGTTTTTTGAGGTCTGGATTTTTCTTTTTTAAATGTTAAATATCAAAATGATTCAGTATTTTCATTATTTGTGAGAGGCATGAAATGGCAGATGAGAAAGAAATTGGTTGTCTCTGGATTTTTCTGTTTTCAGATGTCAATTCACAATTATCAAGGATACTTATCAAAATTAGATGCAATGATTCAGAAGTTTCATTGGTAATTATTTACAGCACGGTAATTTTCTTTATTACCTCCGCCGCTCCGATATTGACAATTTTGGTATCGTTGGATTCCTCTCACTCTACACAATGCAAATATGTAGGTTTTATTGCGCGGAAACCCCCTTATAGTGACAAACTTGGCCCTGATAGCAGGGGAGGGCATGAAAGGTTCCAGGGAAAATGCAGGGTTAAACAACACTAATATTATAATCCACAGTGAAAATAACCATGGTTATTCACACGACTTTCCATTGCAGGGGGCTGGGCCTCCTTCGACCCCCCCTGGGGGAGGGTGCCGCCCCACCCACCCCCCACCGAGGAAACAAAACCTCCACCACGTATTCCTGGCAGGCTAGAGCATTACACAAATATCGTTGATGTCGGAGCGGCGGATGTAATATTACAATTACCTCATAACATTCCCACTGAATCAGCATACTAACCTTGACATAGTGAGCATTGTATACAGAGACGATTGTAGTATAATCAGGATGAACAAGGTATACCATGAACAGAAGAGCGGTGGTGGCCCGTCCTCGTCAGCTCGGCGGGTTTTGCGGCTTTGTTGATGTATCTAGTTCGTGTGCGCTCTATCCAGCCGTGAAGACGTTGTGGATTCTTTGTTTCCTCGGAGGGGGTTGGGGGGCGGCAGTCATGTGAATAACCATGGTAATTTTCACTGTGGGTTATATTAGGGTAATTTTCTATATTACGTCCGCCGCTCCGACATCATCCCCCCTGCTATTGGGGCCAAGTTTGCCGCTAACGGGGGGTTTCCGCGCAATAAAACCTACATATTTGCTTTGTATAGAGTGAGAGGAATCCAACGATACCAAAATCGTCGATATCGGAACTTGCAATAGACTAAGTCCCCAACTCCTCATTGCAAATTTTATTCAACAATTTGAATTGCTGTGACTGGGTGTGCCCAGCCCCAGGGGAGGGTTGATGGGGGGCTCTACCCCCAATACCTCCCAGGAAATATTGTCGGTAATATTGTCTTCTCCTCGTATAGACGGCAAGACCAGACTGTAGAGTATTTTTCTTGTGCGGAAAATATCATTTTGTCTACATTTGTGGGGATGGATCTGTGGATGGATGATGAAACAAGTGTGCGGAAAGGTTAAAAGAATTTTAAGCGCGGAAGATGATTTAAAAAAGATCTAAGTGTGCACAGAAAGTTACCATGAGAACGACATTTGCGCGGACAGAATTTGACCAGTTTATATTTTGCAGACGAAACTCTACAGGCTGGTGGCAAGATAGAGCTGAAACTTGAGAGGACCTTATAGACCTAGGCTTAGAGCGATGGTTTCTAAATTTTTTTTCCTTGGTGTTGTTTTATCGTTGATGTCTGTATATTATTCCTTATACTGACGAGTACAACTTTTTGTTCGACGAGTATAATTTTTTGTCCTATATGAGAATATCATCTTCAATTTCCCCTTCCTTAGTGGGTCCATGCTGATATATAGCAGTCTTTATCTGTGGAAACAAAGAGATGTTATGTAATTGACAGAGAATAGTTTGTTTCCCATAGCCCAGACTGTAGAGTTTGGTCTGCGAAATTTGGTCAAATTCTGTCAGCGCAAATGTAGTTCTCGGGCAACTTTGCACGCACGCTTAGTTCTTTTTTAAATCATCTTCCATGCATAAAATTCTTTTAACCTTTCCGTGCACTTGTTTCATCATCCATCTGCAGATCCATCTGCGCAAATGTAGACAAAATGGTATTTTCCGCACATGAAAAAATGTAAGATACCCTGTGCAAGAAAAATACTCTACAGTCTGGCCTACAGCCATGAAGTAAAAAATACAATTTGCCTGTAATAGACAGAATGACTAAAAATAATACCGCGTTTGGAACTCTTCTAACTAGTTGGACAGTTTGGACAAGAAGTTTTGACCGTTCGGAACCCCTACTTTGGAGTCCAGGATAAGTTGTCCATCTTATTCATCTCACCCTTCTTTGCAATTGGATGAGCAGGACGAGATGATGTCACAATAAAATTTGTATATAAACAATGATAGTTGCAGGGAACCATAAGATACTGATAAGTAATTTTATGGCTCTTTATTAGTGTTATCAAAGCATATATTTGTGTTTGTCAGTTACAGGTAAGGTTACTCTGCATCAAAGGAGTTACAAAACCTATGCAGCATGTAAAATAAAGACCCTTGTATGATAGAATAGTGAATGTTTACTTTTGAGCTGGTAGTATTGTGGGCAAGAAAGACCTCAGAGATTCCGAATGTGGCCTTGTTGTCACGCTGGTTCTGACAAGTTGTCTGGACAAGCAAGATACGGAGTTTAGAATGCAGCATAAGAAATGTTTTGTTTTTAGTATCTTGTTGATTTGGAAATAATACTTAGAGTAGTTATTTAATTTCACACAACCATCCAATTTTGCAATTATTATTCCTTCTTTCAATTAACAGTGCTGTAATATGAGTGAAACTATTGTGATTTTTCAGCACAAATGACATAGATCATACACAGAATCAGTCACTATACTGTCTAATGTAGGGGACTGCCCTTCTGTTACCCCCACATGGGGCGCTGCTGTCCCCTAACGCCCACCCAGGTAAACAAATTCATGCAGGAGCAACTGATGCTCAGCTAAATTTTCCCATGACAGCATGTCCACATCACCTGCCCCACAAGCTAAATTTTATCATGATGTGATGGTCATGGTATCTGGATTGCAGGGGTTAATTTTTACTTTTAATTTCCTTTTTTTTGTGTGGATAGTATTTTTAGTTGAATTTTGAGTGGTATAGGCCAGGTTTTGGAAATCTATTTTCTGACATTAATGATAATGGTGCCCCCTTCAAATGGTGATTCACATTTACATTGTTCAGTCTTTTCAAATCCTACTTGAAATCAGGTAATTTTGTAAATTTGTAAATATGTTCCATATAAAGTATATCTTCATCTCTAAAGCTGGTCCCAAGAAATGGGATAAATAATAGTCATGTAGACCTGGTAATTGACTCCGTGGTGACAAGGTGCTTGAGAAGCCATCCATGTAAAAAGAAAAGAAAAATGAAAAAGAAATAATCAAATTGGACAGTGCATGTATATGTGCACTCCTGGTATTAACAGGTTAAGAAGAAAAAATGATTTGAAGTATATTTAAATATGTTAAATGACTCCTGACCTTGTGCGTCCAGACACTTCAGTTTTTACTCCTATGCCTTATTTGAGCAGGAATGATGAGTATTCCTTTGTTTTCAAAGCTTGTGGTTGCTACTAGTTATTAGGTTATAAACTTACATAGTTTATAGATATTCTTTGTAAAATACAGTGTAGTAGAAGATATGTTAAAATTGATTTTGGGCTTTTCATAAAAAAAAAAAAAAAAATGAAGTGTTTAAAGACGGAAGCCAACGGAATCAAAGGAATATGCATCTTTTTTCTTTTTTAGAATAGTAAGATATTGCTATTTGCTAGTTATTAGTATATATTTCTCCTTATAGTTCCTGCTGCTGTTAATTATATAATGCTTCACTTTAAAAAGAAGGCAATGAGTTGTGAGGAAAGTCTGCAAAAACTTAAAAGTCCTTAATTGTAGCAATGGCCTAGTATGTTTAACCCGTAGCCGACGGGTGGCATGTACATACATGCCATGGCAGCTGCGGACTGAAACACGGATAGTATTGTAAATGTTGTCCAAACTACTTATACAAACGGGCACAAACCGGGAAACTGCTGATGTGCGCCAGTAATCCCGTTCTTACGTTCACTTTCCAAACATTTTTACCCGTCGGCACTAGGTTAAGGTCTGCAGTTGTATAAGATGGAAGAAAGAAAAACTGTACCAGGAACTCAACTTAAAATGAACAAAACTAGGAGAAATTGGTGCTACAATTTTGATGCAGGTTAAGAGAAAAGAGAAAGCAATCATACATCATAAATCTCAAATCTTGATTGGACTACGACTGTCCCTCCATTCCTTTCAACTCCTTCCACAAACTATGGGAGACTGGAATATCCTGCAACACTAATAATTCATATCTTGTCCTTGACAGACTGGGGTGCAGCTGATGAGGATGCAGAAGATGTGAATGTGTGGGAGGACAACTGGGATGATGACAACATTGAGGATGATTTTTCCCAGCAACTGAGGTGAGGCAGCCAGCTGTTATTTAACTTTTGGAATGTGGGGTAGAGGTGGTTGCATTTGGAATGTGTCAGGAGGTACATGCATATCTTTGTGTCTTAATACGTGACTTGCCACACTCCTGCGTGCAGCCTGTGGCACATTTGCTATTCGTCTTACAGTCAGCTGTTTTACATGCTCAATCAAGCCAGCCCTTCTTTTAGGGTTATCGCATTCACTCTAATTTAAAAAAAATTATTATTGTGCTTTTGTAATGAATGAAATAGCCCAGGGGTGTCATATTCATGGTCTGTGGGGGTAATTGTGTCCCCTGGGATGATCATATGGCTTTGTCATCTGTGGGGTAACAAGAAAAATTATTAGCCTGAAATTATGATTGCCATGAAGGAAAATATATATAATTTGTTACCATTAGTATTATTATTTGAAATCATATAAGTATGAAATACCAGTTTTAGTAACATAATCCTAGGAAGCCAGATAGGAACCTTTGTTGGGCCTCAATATGATTGCAGCCCAATTTTCCTATCAGCTAAGTGTTTTGAGATTTTTACCCCTGTTATGTATATATATTAGATAGTTTATATATGTATATCAGCTTGGTCAATCAGTATATATATCTTTGTGTGAATATTCATTGTTGCTTTTTTTTTTAGAAGTACTGAACAGAATCAATATTTAGATTAAAAAAAAAAAAGTAAATGACCAAGTTGCAAATTTTAATTGCTGATTAGATTGTATGCATGTGCTAAATCTAATAAAATTGATCAGTTTTCTCTTCCACATGTTTCTGTAGAAACTAGGAAGACCTCTATAGATAATAGATAACTTGTTTATAAGAGGATACACCAATTTAAGAGGGGAAGGTACATGAAAGCATACTTTTGAATTCTTTTTTTAATTTTTAAATCTTATTTCTGTCTTTCAGAGCTGAGCTGAACATCCAGCCAATGCCACAGTAATCCTGTGCGTGTGTACTGTATGAGAGATTTGCGTTTTTGTGATTTTCAGTTAGGATTTCTAATCAATTGTCGACTGCTAAATGGTGTATTGTATTATCTATGAATAAATGCTTTTATAGATAATTTGAATATTTGCTTGAAACCTTTCACCACTATGATTGTGTCAACTGAATGGTGTAGAAATTGTTTATGATAAAAAAAAGTATAAATAATTTGACTGTTTTGAAACAGTCTGATAAGGTGAAGTAGAATTTTTTTTTTTTTTTTTTTTTTTTTTTTTTTTTTTTACTATGGGCCTATGAATACATTTTAAGGAAAGAAAAATAAAGATGTATGGCTTACTCTTTTAATATAAATATCTACAGAGGTGATGTATTTACATTGTAAATTTAGGACCCCAGAGAGTTTTCTTTCAACATAGGAAAGGATATTATCACCTTTTCTTTCCAAGTTACAGTCAGTAACAGAGTTCTTTAAGATCAAGAAAAAAAATCAAAATTCACATCATTGAGGTTAAAAAACATCTAAATTTTAAACATAAATGTTAGCTCTCTTTTAATCATGACCATCTAAGAACTTGCTGAGGAAGTCCTTGGGCTTGGGGTCGACACTGTCCCGCCAGTAGGCCATGAGGCCATGTTTCTGCTTCCAGATCTCCACAGTTTCTTTCAGCTCCATCTGGCCCTGGGGAAGAGTAGCAGATTTTGTTTTGCATTAAATATGCAGAAAATATATATAAAGATAGGTAAAGAAACAAGTCAATTTTGCTGTTAGTGCTCACATGACACACAAAAAAGTATAACTTTTTTTTCTGAAGGCAAAATAAGATGATTTCACACATGATTAATCAAACTTGACAACAACCAAAAAGGTTTGGTGTTTGTTTTTTGTTATTTCTTCATTTTACAAATGAAGTAACAAGAATTCCTGATTAAGGTTCATAATGAAAAGTCTTCAAGTGGGTGTAACTTATGACAGCAGAATATGATTCATACATCAAAAGAAGGAATACTGCAAAAGAAATATTTACCAAAAGGAGCAGCTTTGGCCTTTTTGAAAAATTTTCTTATCAGTAACCACAGAGAAATGTTGCAACACAAAATCAGGTATCATATATCCACTTTATATTTAAAGAAAATGGAATGATCTTATTGAAGTTTCACCTCTCATCCTATATGTGGGAGTGGAGAGAAAGGAGGAGGAGGAGGAAGGAAGGGAAAGAAAGAAAAAAAGGAAACAATAAATACCTAAACCAACTGAAAGTTCCAGCTAAAAAGGGAGCAAAAGGATATGACTGACCTTGATGACCAACATGTCTATGACGCGAATGTCCTGCACATGACGATGCTTCTCGAACTCCTCACGCAGCTTCTCCCTGCACTGTTCCTTTGACTTGGGGAAATCGTAGTCTATCACTGTTGGGAGAATTCCATTTGTTGGTGATTTCTTTGGATATTTTTAATGATGACTAATTTATTGTGCATAATCTACAGTCATATGATGAACATTTTAAAGATTATGATGAACTATCCTTTGATTTTGCAAATGAACTTTTGTTCTGTTTAACAGCATGATTTTGACTTTCATACTATTACTGTCAATATCAATGCTGTTACTATTATCATAGACATAATTATTTATAATGTTATCTACATTACTATCAGTTCTATCATGCTATAATATATACTGTGGCTCCACCTGGTACAGAGGCCATGCAAATCACCACACAGTGTATTACACATTTAAAAAATAAAAATTTTATTTACAATTTGCAACATATTTGTTAGTAACTGTTTATGAATTGACCATACCACCTGATATTAAGTTCATATTACTCCAGCCAACAACCTTGCGGGCACTGCTAGGAATCCACAAATTACAAAAGATTACCATGGTGCAGGGTGCATGGTTAATCTCTGTACTCAGAGAGTAATGTTTGTGAATTCCTAGGAGGGGCTATAGTAACAGTGACTTGCTGTAAGTTTCCCTAAACTCCACCCACAAGGAAGCAACCCTAAAGAGTGAGTCAAAGACGATGTCGCTAAGGTCTGTCCATAAAATGAGTCAGACAAATTCTCTTACGATTTTAGAGTCAAAGACTTTTTAGGACAGACCTTTAATTCATCAGGACCTTTCATGAATACTGAACTATAAGTTGTATTCACAAAAGGTCTATGACTGTTCTTGGCACTTTTGTCTAAGATTTGCCCAATTGCCACATCTTGAAGTTAGTACTGGTAATAGAACAAATATCTATATTGTTTTAGACCCTATTTTGATAATCTCTTGTAATATGACAATAAGAAATATATGGCAATAAATCTTGCTTATATCATAATGGTAATACTGCACATTTAGTATATCTAAATGTGATGTGGCATCCCTATGTTTATTGTCATAGCATCAGTTGTAAAGGTGGACATGAATAAAAAATATAAAACAATGAAAGAATCAACTATATTAACTTTTGACAATAATTAAAAGGTCCTTCCAAATTTTTCTTTTCTATCATACTCAATGCAGAATGATCCTCATATTTGTGTAAATTTGCACAGCAATTTTTAAGATGGTCCTTCCAAGCATGGGACACTCATATATAAAAAGTCATATATAAAAACTGTAAGTCAAAGACATTTTCGTAGGAAGTCAGACAAATTTGCCAAGTCAAAGACATATGAAGATAATCACACATCACTAATAACAATTACACTTACAAAATACCAATGGTACCACGTGACTTCACCGGTAATGCTATGACAACAAACCTATCCTTGCCCAAATTTTAGTTAAATATATAAAATATGTAATAACCATTATCATTAATGATTACTTGGTGCAATAAAGTTTAAGCATAAAAAAAAAAATCAATAATCACATATGTGCAAATGTATATTTACAACAGATACTTAAGCTGTGCGCTTACCATAAACCCTATGCCTATAGTACTCTGGAGAGGTTAATATATCTCTGCAACTTGTTCCTTATTGGATGATTATTACCATATGGTTTCACTGCATCTATTTCAAACCACATCAAGGAATGCACAGCACAGTCATCAAAATGTTTGATTTCTCCATCATTGATGTAGAAATGGTACTCGATCTCCTGAATGATTCATTCGCTGAAGAAACAATGCCGAAAATCAATGAAATCATTGGATTTCCTGCAGAAAAACATCAATTTCTTTTGACTTAGTCTCTGCGAGGGTGTGTCGCAGTCTTCAACAATTACCTAGTATTGCATGAAAGATATATAGTTTTCAATAAGTGATTGATGTAGAGCTAGACTGATAACTTTGCTTCATGTGCAAAAGAAATTCTGAATGCAGCTGATGTCCCAATGTGTGGAGCCTTTTTCTGACATACTGCACAGGTGTGTGCATCTGCTGTGTGAACATGAGGCACAAACACAGGTACAGTATGAATCAAAAGGCAAAAATGTTGAAATTGCCCTTTACCATACCATCTGTTAACTAATTGGTATGAAGTTGCAAAATGTTAGGATAGTGGTAGAGGGTTGTGTGTACATAAATTTTTCCCAAACGGTTTCGTATGATCATCCCCACACACACACTATTTACAAAAAAATCTGGTTAATCTTTACGGTTAGATGCAATAAGTAGGGGAAATTGATGATAATATTCTCGTAGAGGACAAAAAGTTATAGTTGTAAGTACAAGAAATAATCTGCAGACATGCATAATACCAGAAATCAATAAAGTAATTGTGGAAAGTGCCACAAGCAGCCCAAGTCCAGCTGGTCCTCACAAGTTTGTTATATCTTGCCATGCATACGTGGGGAAGAAAATGTTTCCCAGGGAGATGTTGAGGGGAGAGGAAACCTTATCTCTGAAGGGTGCAAGTCACTTCATAAACAATACTTTCACTAATATCATTTGTAATGGAAATCAACAATAGATCATGCATATTACCCTGTAAATAACTGAAACAAAAATGATGATTGCAAGGTTGGATGGCTGAGTAAAAAAAAAAAAAAAAAAAGTAAAATATATATTATGATGTAGTATGAGAAAATATGGTTATTTTACCATTTATGACAAATGAGACTTCCCAGACAATACTCATATCATCAGATTTATTCTTGTGTGACAAGAATGAATCTGATGATCCGTAGCAATCACAGCCGACAATCTTGATGTGTCAAATCCCAATAGCAGGGGAGGGTATGAAGTATAACAGGGAAATTATGGGGTAAAACTGGCTTAAATAAGAAGAATGGTGAACAAAAATGCATAAAAATAGCACAAAAAATGCTTAAAATGGCCAATGAAACTCTATGGATGTACTCGACAGCTTTGAAATTCTACGGACTAACATGCGGGATCCCAACCCACCTTTCGGCAAAACCTATGGGAATTCACACATTCCATACCCCCCAAAAAATGTACTGACCAATAACCCAGTCTATTCTAACAATCTAAGTTGCCGTGACTAGGTGTGCCCTTTTGACACTGCCTGAGGGGAGGGTTGATGGAGAGGTCCGCCCCCTAACACCCCCAGAAAACATTCTCTTCATCTCAGTTTGTACGGCAAGATAGAGCTGCGTTCACACCATAAAATAATAAACCAAATACCTTCATATTTCAAACTTATGTTTACTTCTTTCTACCATCTGGATTGCTTCAATTTTAATCTTTTTTTGCATTTGGGCTCAGATATTAAACTGGGATGATTACTAAAGTCTATTTCTTCTTCATTGTCACTGTATAGTCTTAAGAATAACCAAGAATCAACACAAC